TTTGGACAAGACATGACTTAGATAGAAGCTTGAAATGGACTAGAAATTTTAATATTAGAAAATTAGGGTTCTTTCAATACCTGAGAGTTGATGGAAAAGCTGTGATTTAGCCCAAGATTTAGAAAGAAGAGTTTGACAGAACACGAATATTTCATGGATGGGTTGGGGTAGAAGATCTCTGCAATTTTAAAGAAGGTACTTAAGGATGGTCTCACTGGAATAAACGTTTTTCATACAGTTAAAAGCCTAAAACAGGATAATATTGCTTCCCTGGTCTCCATCAGTAAGAAGAAAACAATCCAAAAGAGTGGGATTAGGGGGGCCTTGGGTGGCTCAGTTGGTTGAGTGTCTGACTCTTGATTTCAGTTCAGGTCATGATCTCAAGGTTTTGAGATCGAGCCCTGCGTCATGCTCTGAGCTCAGCAGGGATTCTACTTGAGATTCTCTCTCTCTCTCTCTCTCTCTCTCTCTTGCTGCCCCTGCTCCCCTCCATTGCGTGTGTGCACACTTCTCTCTCTCTAAAAAAAATAAATCTTTAAAAAAGGAAGAGTGGGAGTGGGGCAGCAGGGGAAATGCCAGATGTATCCTGTAAATTAGAAATATCTCCTTTTAAAACTATTTATTTGCTCCATAAGATACCCGGAAATAAATTTCGAATTCACTATTTTATCCCCAGTGCTTGGTATAGGGCCTATACATAGGGGTTGCTCATAATTTTGTGAAGAATAACTAAGTAGATTATTGGAAATCATCCTAGAAAAAATATGTATTCATTTTTGTATTTATTCAATAAATAATTGTTGAGAAACTACTATATATCATGTTTTATGGAGAGTGCTAGGCACACAGCAGTGAGAAAAATGAGCTGATAAATCAGAGCCATCAAACAACTGATAGTCTGGTTGCAGAAAACATAACAAATGAAGTACAAAATATTCAGATGATGCTAAGTGATATGGAAAAAAGATACATCAAAGAAAACAGATGGATGGGTTGGGGTAGAAGATCTCTTCGATTTTAAAAAAGGTACTTACGGATGGTCTCACTGAAGTAAAGGGCTTTTGAATAAATGGTTTAACGAAGTAAGGCTCTGAGCCATGTAGATATTGGAAACTAGTGTTCCAGGCAGATGAAAGGCAGGTACAAAGGCCCTGAGGCAAGAGTGTGCCTGGTGTGCTTCTGACAGAGTAAGATGGCTAGTGCGGTTGGAGCAAAAGAAGAGAGACAGAGACGATAAGGGAAGACCTCAGATTGGTCAAGGGGGCCAGGCCTCATAAACCATAGTTAGAACTTTGGCTTTTATTCTAAGGCGTAAACACATTGATCTTGAGCAGAGGAGTTGGAGAATACAATGTGTTTTAAATGAGTCCTCTCCAGCTATTGTACTGACAATATACTAGTGGGAGTAAAGGCAGAAGCCAGGGGAGATTATTTCAGATTTCCAAATTAGTGGTGATTGTAGCCAAAAAAGGGCAACATTCCATGAAATAAGTTACCTGGAGAGCTTATACAGAACATACATGGGTGTTTTTCGCTAATGATTTTGAAGTTGAAAAATTTAGAGGAGATACTTTTTTTTTTAAGATTTTATTTATTTATTTGACAGAGAGAGATCACAAGTAGGCAGAGAGGCAGGCAGAGAGAGAGGGGTAAGCAGGCTCCCTGCTGAGCAGAGAGCCCCATGCGGGGCTCGATCCCAGGACTCCGGGATCATGACCCGAGCCGAAAGCAGAGGCTTTAACCCACTGAGCCACCCAGGCGCCCCATAGAGGAGATACTTTTGAATAATTCTATTTCTAATGCTATTTCATAAAATTAAAAATCACCTTGCTCTTCCCTCTGTGAAATGTTCTCTCCTCTTATGGATAGACTACTTAGATATCTAAGCGAGAAATATAAATATATATATATATATATATATATATATATATATATATACCATATATATATGGCTTGTTACTTATCCTTAAAATTCAGAAATGTAGACTCATTCCTTTATCATTTTCTAAAATAACTCTGAGAAATATAAAACTTATGCTCTTAGTAGTCATAAAATATGAATGAATTATAAGGTCCTTATCTAAAACTATTTTCAGGGCAGAATCCTCAAGAACTTCTTCTTAACTACTCTCAGGTCATGGGGAGGAAGCATGAAAGAGAAAGGCATCCAAAAACAGAAGAGGAATCCAGAGTCTTAACATTAAATCTACCTATTTTAATTCTGAACTGGCCTCAGTGATTTTCATTCACAAAATAAAACAGAAAAACATCAAATAGCAGTGATAGTTGGGATAAAAAAAAATCACAATTGTTATAAACATCTGCTATAACAATTTATGCACTGTCTAAGGGAAAGCTTTGTATATTGGGAGCAGGGAAGTGGAGAGTTGAAATAATATAGGCCTACTTTCAAATCCTAGCAATATCACTTACTGCAGAGGTTTGAACCAAACGTATGATTCAGTTTTGGAGTTTTAAGTTTTTTCCCTCTCTAATATGGTAGTAATAGTATCTTCCTCAGGCCATTATTGTATGAGCATTAAATAAAAAATAAATAATACCTATAAAAGGGACTACATAGCTCCTAGAACATGGCATTTGTTATTCATATATATTCATATTTATATGTTCTCTGTAAAACAACAACACAACAATAAAATCATAATCTTAGGGAGGTAGAATTACTGAAGCAAAAAAGGGCATTGTTCTACTTCCCAAACCAAATAAGACAGGGCCTGAGAGAATCTACCACAGAAATAGCAACAAGAAATTTGGACTTGAGACTCTTCTTGACTGCAAAGAGATTCTCGCTAACCTAATTAAGATAAAGGGACCTTGGGGCACCTGGGTGGCTCAGTGGGTTAAGCCTCTGCCCCCGGCTCGGGTCATGGTCTCAGGGTCCTGGGATCAAGCCCCACATTGGGATCTCTGCTTAGCAGGGAGACTGTTACCTCCCTCTCTCTCTGCCTGCCTCTCTGCCTACTTGTAATCTCTGTCTATCAAATAAATAAATAAAATCTTTAAAAAAAAAAAAAAAGATAAAGGGACCTTAATTGGCCTAAGGGAAACTCCCTGTGATGAAACTGTGAGAACACACAGATTTGTGCTGAATGCCTCTCAGAGAATGAAACCTGAGGGCATATTCAGACAATTGACAGTATTATAATTGATTCTGATAAAAACTTTAATATAACCACAGCAGAGAAAAAAAAATTGGACCATTAGCATGCATGTCATTATTGTTATTACATATTTGCCTATTCTCTCACTGAAATAAGACAGGAATTTTAAGCTAGTAAGTACATATATCAGTGTTTGTATTTGTCATTTTATTAATTCTTATGCGTAAGAATGTGTATTATTAGTGATTGGTAAAGGTTTCTAAACCAGCAGTATCCTGGCATTGATTTGAGTTTTCTCATGAAATGATTGTCATTTCCATTCAGGTCTCCAAGTGCCCCAGCTGTAGTGTCCCAGGGAATATTCCTGTACTGTAATCTCCTGGAGGCGACATTGCAAAAGAGGTATGTGAAAGAGTTTTTCTGTGCTCTACTTGAGAATTGTCACACATTTCCACTGCTATGTAAAATGAGTTAGAAACAAGGCTCTTCAAGTCCAAATGTGCTTGACGTGGCCCATTTCTGTTTTTCCCTTGCAATAACAGGGTTAATGTTTGGGGGAAAATTTTTTCTTAAAGAAAACTGCAGAAGTTGCTGCTACATCAAAAATCAACTTGGTTACTATTAAAATTATATTTAACAAAGTTGCCATATACAAGCTTCTATTTTTCAGTTGGCTATACACAGATGTGGATCTAAAGAAGGAAGTGCGTGACTTTCATCTTCTCGATAATTTTATGTTGATTACAAATTATATGGATGGAAGGAATGTGAAATAAAATGTAATGAAGGCTAAGAAAAGAAGGGGCTAGCATAGTTCAATGGCTGAGAAAACCAATTTTGGAATCAGAAAGACATGTGTTCAAATCAGAGTTCCTCTACTTACTAGGAGTGTGACCTTTGGCAATTTATTTAACTTCTCTAAGTTTGTTTCCTGATCTTAGAAGGAACCTTAGTATTGCTATATCACTAGGTTATCATGAAAATTAAGTACAAAAAGATATAAAAGTTCTTGTCACATTGTCTTGAACATAAAAAGTAGTCAAGTATTTAATGTGATCAATTATGTTATTACCTTTCTCTAATACTAATAAGTACTCAAGTATTATTACTTAGTTGTGGTTGTTACTATCACTGTAATGATCAAGAAAATAAATAAAACAATTGATCTGTGATGTGCAGTACACACTCTTAGCTAATTTAACCCAGTTTCTCTCTGGCCCACTCCTCTAAGAACTAAGAGTGTGGTTATAAATTGGAAAAAAGGTTTTCCCATTGTAGTAAATGACGGCACTTCAGGCCCAGCTGAACAGAATGAAAGTTGCCAGCTCCTTCTGGGGACAAGATCCTCCCCCAAGGGTGGGTTGAGTGGCAGATACATAGGGCAGGCTTTCTGGAGAAGACCCACCTACAGATCTCTGATTGTCAGTAATAGTCCACACTTCACTTGGCTTCTGCTTCTTTCAGGGGTGGGGGATGCGTGGGTGGGTCGGGGGTGGGTGGGGAAGTCTCAACATGGTGTTGATCAGGAAATAAGGTGCTGAGTTGGTCAGAACGTAAGTGATTCAGCTTTCTTTCGTTTAAAGTCCTAAGTCTCCTACTCACTGTTAAGTGAAAATGCTTCTGGGGAACAAAAGGGGTTTTTTTTTGTTGTTTTTTGGATTTTTTTTTTTTTAATGGAAAGAACAGTGCTTTGCTCTAATCACTAAGCCTCCATGTAAGCTTGGCCGCAATGCCTCAACACATTTAGAATGTTCAGCTGGGTAGAATCCTGCGACAATCATAAGAATCCTGCTGTTGTCGAGGCTTTCCCAGACGACCAGGAGCAAGCCAAAGGCTCACTCCGTAAACCCACGTTAAGAGGGAATATGCGAGGGCAAAATGGAGAGAGGGAAACCTAAGATGGAAGTGAGAGAAAGTGGGACTCGAGGGAACTCTGCAGACCTCAGGAACCGCCAGCGTCCACCTGAACGCTACTTCTCTGCCATCTTCCACCGTAATTTTCCCCTCCCGCCACCTGAGCAACGGTCGCTGCCACAACAGCGACAACTACAGTCGACTCCGGGCATATGTGACCCAGCGGCCCCCCACACCGAGACCAAGACTGGGGACGGGAAGCCAGCGGTCGCCATTGCCGACACACGCTATCTTGTAAAAGTCTACTCACTGAACGAGGACCAACAATGGGATTATCTCGGCACCGGGCACGTCTCCTCTATTTATGTGAAGCGCCACCAGGGCGTGTCCCTGCTCGTTAGGTCGGATTCCCAGGCCTCACTAATCTTGGAATCAAAGATAAATTCAAATACGCCCTATCAGAAACCACAGGAAACGCTGATTATTTGGTCTGAAGCAGAGAACCATGGTGTGGCATTAAGTTTCCAGGACACTGAGGGTTGCCACAAGATCTGGGAGGAAATTTGCCACGTTCAGGGAAAAGACCCATCCATCGAAATCACGCAAGATCTCTTGGAGGAATCCAAAGAGGAACAACTGCATGAAGTCCTGGAAACCAATAATGTGTTTGACCTGCCTAACTGTGAACTCTGTAAACTTGAAGAGATCGATGACTTCATTACCTCGGTTCTCGCTTCACCGATCCGTAAGGAGAGACTGGCTCTGATCTTAGAAAATGACAACTATATTAAAAATTTGCTGCAGCTGTTCCACACTTGTGAGGACCTAGGGGACACTGCAGGCTTACATCATTTGCATGAAATTATTAAAGGCATCTTATTCCTTAACAAGACAGCTCTGTTTGAGATCATGTTTTCTGCTGAGTGTATCATGGATGTGGTGGGATGTCTTGAATATGACCCTGCTTTGGCTCAGCCAAAAAGGCATAGGGAATTCTTGACCCAAAATGCAAGGTTCAAGGAAGTTGTACCAATAACAAACGGTGAACTTAGGCAAAAAATAAATCAGACATATAGGATACAGTACATCTATGACATACTTTTGCCGGCACCATCCATGTATGAAGAGAACTTTCTTTCTAGTCTTACAACTTTTATTTTCCTCAACAAGGTTGAGATAGTCAGCATGCTGCAGGATGATAACTTTTTGTCTGAAGTCTTCGCACAGTTAAAGAATGCGGCTATAGATGATGATAGACGGCGTGAATTGCTACTTTTCTTCAAGGAATTCTGTGCATTTTCTCAGACATTACAGCCTCCAAAGAAGGATGCTCTGTTCAAAACACTGACAGAATTGGGAATTCTTCCTGTTCTTAAAATCGTAATGAGCATGGAGGATTCGCAAATAAGGTCAGCTGCTACTGATATATTTACTTATCTTGTGGAGTATAGTCCATCCATGATTCGAGAATTTATCATGGAAGAAGCTCAGGAGAGTGAAGACGGTAACCTTTTCATTAATTTAGTCATTGAGCAAATGATCTGCGATACTGATCCTGAGCTAGGAGGTGCTGTTCATTTAATGGAACTTCTTCGTACTCTTCTTGATCCAGAAAACATGCACGCAACATCTACTAAATGTGAAAGAAGTGAATTCCTAAATTTTTTCTACAAGCATTGTATACACAACTTCATAGCACCACTTTTTGCCACCACTTCGGAAGATATATGTGAAAGGGATAGTGAAGTTGGATCCGACAGAAACAACACACATTGCCTCAATAATTATCAAACAGCACAGCTGCTTTCTTTAATTTTAGAGCTGCTCACATTTTGTGTGCAACATCACACATACTACATAAAAAATTATATTTTGAGCAAAGACTTGCTAAGAAGAGTCTTGATCTTGATGAATTCAAAGCACACTTTCCTGGTCTTGAGTGCGCTCCGCTTTATGAGAAGGATGATTGGCCTTAAAGATGAACTTTATAATTGTTACATCATCAAGGGAAATCTTTTTGAGCCAGTTGTCAAAGCTCTTCTGGGTAACGGAACTCGGTACAATATGTTGAATTCAGCTGTTATTGAGCTGTTTGAATACATAAGAGCGGAAAATATCAAATCTCTTATTATACATATAGTTGAAAAGTTTTATAAGGCACTTGAATCGATTGAATATGTCCAGACATTCAAAGGATTGAAGATTAAATATGAACAAGAAAAAGACCGGCAGAATCAAATACGGAAGAATTTACATTCTATCCTGCATAGTAAAATACTTCGCAGGAGTGCCAGAGTTGTGGACAAGAAGGAAGAAGAGCGTTTTAAAGGAAATTCAGAGGAAGGAGAAGCAACTATGCCGCCACTGGAAGATGATTTTCAAGATGGTTTCAAATTTATGGAGACTGAAAAAACAAAGGAAAATGAAGACAAGGTAGCTCCTCCTAAAAGATCATCCTCAGGGGGCTACAAACCCACCTCATCCCATCCGGCTGCTGCTGCTAATGGAACACGTAGCCTGCGGGGTAGCAGCACTGTTGGCTTAGCGAATCATCCCAATGATGATGAAAAAGATAAGGAAGATGAAACATCTCCCAGGAAGAGACCACATCTTAGCCTGTAAAATCTTTATGCGAGACCCTCAACAATACTAAATTCTATGAATATTCAGTAAACGTCAATTAGCTGAAAAGTCTGAATCCAAAAGCTTTCTAATTTGAACTTCTAAGTATACAATAAGTAGCAAAGATGGGATGGTTTAGTTCTGTAAAAACCAAAGTTCACAGAATTCCTAAAAAAAAAAAGGAAAGAAAAAGAACTAAACTAAAAAACTAACCAGAACCTGAATGATAACTACTTCGCAAGAAAAAAATCTTAGTTTGGGGGAAGGAAACAGGTTGATAATATAAATGAATGTAGTTTTGTTCTAGGGCTGTATTTTAAAAACAGCTGTTAACACTGCAGTTACAAAGCCTGTAACATTACTTGCCCAGTGATTCTGACTATGGTTTTCTTTGCTTTGATTGCCCTTTTTTTTGTCATAAAAATTCATGTTTACATGGAAAACAAAGTCAACTGTAATCAAAAAAACAAACTGAAGCTATTCACGTGTCTGTGAAGATTTAACACAAATTCGGACTCTGGGTAATTGGGGGGAAGTAACTTGCAGTGTGTATTTTCATGAATAAAAAAGGAAGCTGGATTCAAAATGTGCAGTTGTCAATTTAACTTTTTTTTTTTTTAGATAAGAGATGCCAAGAATCAGCCCAATAGTATTCTGAAAAGGTATTCTCTATTACCCTGGTGGTGGGTAGAACAGAACACTTTCAATAGCCAGATGGTGAAAAGTAATTCTGAAGGTATTTGCTGACTCCTTAATAAAGTTGTGTCCATCTTCAGAGCCGCAGGTTAAGTTTTAAAGTACTATTTACAGGGGCATCTGGGTGGCCCAATGGGTTAAAGCCTCTGCCTTCTGCTCAGGTCATGATCCCAGAGTCCTGGGATCAAGCCCTGCATCAGGCTCTCTGCTCAGCAGGGTGCCTTCTTCCTCCTCTCTGTCTGCCTCTCTGCCTACTTGTGATCTCTCTCTCTGTCAAATAAAATCTTTTTTTTTAAGTATAATTTACAAAGACTAACATACAAAAAATAGTGCTGGATGAGGTGGCATTTAATATCTAGGAACAATTTTGGATGAAGAAGCTGCTTAAGTGTCAAATTCCACTTACAGTACCTGAAGTGTTTTTTTCTATAAACAAACAAGGGTGCAATATGAAATGTGCTTTATGAAAGGAGTGAATGCAATGCATTTCTAAAAATAAGTTGTAGCAAAGAGTTAAGAGGGTTTATTTTTAGAGGAGCAAGCTAACTGGGTCCATTTTTCCTGAAATGGCTAAAACTGAATCAGTTTCTCCTGTTTTGAAGAATTTAGAGTTAATTTCAATTTTGGTCATTGTTTGAACCAGATGGGCTGTCTGTGTGGACATGAAGTATAGTTTTCCACAGACAGATTTTGGTTTTCATTCAAAATACTATCGTAGTTGTTTTGCACCATTTGATGATATCCATGCTGAACTATGAAATTCAGAAACTAAAAAGTCACCTTGTAATTCCAAAAATAAAAGAGACCATTTTTATTTATTTTTTTTCATTCCTTAGTACATTTAAAGAGACCATTTTAAATGTACTTTTGTGCCAATAGGAGACACATCTCATGCAAAAGTAGGAGAGAGTTGTGTAAGAGCCACAAAGAGAATATATTCTTTTTTTTTTAAATTTCAAAATGTTTTAATTTCTTTTTTTTTAATTTTAAAAAAGTTTTTTTTTCTTTACAGCGTAACAGTATTCATTGTTTTTGCACCACACCCAGTGCTCCATGCAATACATACCCTCTTTAATATCCACCACCTGGCTCACCCAACCTCCCACCTCCCGCCCCTTCAAAACCCTCAGATTGTTTTTCAGAGTCCATAGTCTCTCATGGTTCACCTCCCCTTCCAATTTCCCTCAACTCCCTTCTCCTCTCCATCTGCCTATGTCCTCCATGTTATTTGTTATGCTCCACAAATAATGAAACCATATGATAATAGACTCTCTCTGCTTGACTTATTTCACTCAGCATAATCTCTTCCAGTCCCGTCCATGTTGCTACAAAAGTTGGGTATTCATCCTTTCTGATGGAGGCATAATACTCCATAGTGTATATGGACCACATCTTCCTTATCCATTCGTTTGTTGAAGGGCATCTTGGTTCTTTCCACAGTTTGGCGACCGTGGCCATTGCTGCTATAAACATTGGGGTACAGATGGCCCTTCTTTTCACTACATCTGTATCTTTGGGGTAAAGACCCAGTAGTGCAATTGCAGGGTCATAAGGAAGCTCTATTTTTAATTTCTTAAGGAACAAAAAGAGTATATTCTTAAAATAAGAAATAATCATTTCATCAGACATACAGTCTGCTAAAGTGTGGACATGACCTCAGGAGATATAATCACATATTGCTGAGGACATGACACAGCAGGGAAACTGCATTTTTACATCTCTCAAGCCATGCTGGGTAATTAAATGTTGTAATGGGACTATTCATGTTGTGAGTATATGTCAGAAAGGGCAGTTTGTTCCAAGAGCATGTCCTGTTTTCCTTTTGGCTAGAGTGTCATGGGGAATGTTATCCAGAGTGCACACACTTACGTGCCTCTTCTGAGTGTTGTTTTGAAAAAAAAAATGCTTAACCCCTTGTTTTGGTGGGATTATCCCCAATTCCTTAACAGAGCAGCTATTTACAACTAGACAGAGATGAACAATTTTTCTATGCTCTTCCTGCTTATTCTCTTCTCTTCAGCTAGTTTTAATCAGCCGTTAAAAAATGGACACTAAAAAAAATTTTTAGTGGACACTGCAGGAGAAAAAAAATGAATATTTGCATTTCTTGCTGTACTGTTTCCAGTGAATTTGTAAGTAAGGGTGGAGGAGGGCATAAGTGTAATGGAAAGTTAAAAAAGAAGGAAAAAAAAAACAAAGAAAAAAGGACAGGCTTTCTATTGAGCTGTGTAACCTCTGTGAGTCCTTTCCTAGTCTCAGCTACTTAATGTTAGGGAAACAACATGACAGGCAAAATGGTGCAAAGGCAAATTGCCCATCAGATGGCATAACCTACTATTACAAGAACATTTAAGAGGGCAACAAAACACAGAAGAGAAATCCTTACTGTCTGCACACTGAGTGAAAAATTGACCAAAATATTCAGCCTCTCTGGATACTGTGTGCAAGGAGGTACCATGTCAGAAATGTTTAATTTCATCTTCAAGACTTTTAGAAGTAATTTTAAAAGGACCCTTAAGTGGGTTATTTATGAAAAGGAGAAACAGCTTGGAATGGCTTCGTCTGTACAATAAAATAGGGGTGAGCATTTTTGGAGAGGCACCCTGGGCTCATCAAGATAAGGGCTTTAAATACATGACTTCCAGTAATTTTTATGGCAGAGGAACTTTCTAAATACACCCAACAAAGAGAAGGTGATACAACAGATAAGGCAAAAGCTTCATATTCAGACAGCCCTTGCCAACAGTGCAGGCTCTGATGCTTACCAGTCCCATGACCTTAGACAATTTACCTCTTTTCTCCTCTAACCACACTTTCTCCATCTTGTCTTAAAACTCAGAAACTCTATGTTAACTACCCAGATCATATTCAGCACTTAGTAAATAGCTTTCAAAATTCTTTATTGTCAACAATAGTAGCATAATCATTTCCCAAAAGATTGGGGATAAAGTCACGTAAAAACACTTATATCACAAGGTATACTCATAAATCAATAATCCTATATTCTCAATCAAATTAGTAGCAACATGATAAATTAAAAATGAGGTCAGTTCTGGTTAGCAGACAAGTCTATACGTATGCATCGTGCCCCGCTGAGACACAACTGAAATAAAAAGCATTAAAGTAGAAAGAAAAATAAGCTTGTATAGCAATAAAGACACTTGGGTGGAGTGGTGTCTGGGGTGTTAACCACAGAGCATAGAGTGAAACTGAAATCAGAAGAGTAGCAGGAGAGGTGGGGAAGGCATCCAAGATTTGTGAAAGTGACCAGAGTAAGTAAGCATTACTCCCTTCCCTTCCATGCCCACCCCCAGCAAGCAGAACAGTCAGCTAGAATGTATCCATAGGTTAACTGTCCAAGTGTCCTTTTCCTTAAAGCAATTGAAATAACAGACAAATCTGGGGACCCTGGTATAGATGTTGTTGCCTCAGAGTTAAGCTCTTCCCTTCAGGGTGTTGAAGGATCCCAGATGCTGCAAGTTTCCCATCCTAAGGTGCAAGTCACGGTGTTTTCAGTAGTGAGAATTGTTAATGCCCAGCTCCCACCCAAAAAGGACAGTCTCAAGAGTACAAATGATGTCCCTGGAAGGAAAGGTCTTTACAGTTGGTAGTTCTGTCGGGTAATACCTACAACAGTCAGGGAACACAGGTGGAAAATGCCAGCAGGTAAGTGTTAAGGTTCCCAGTTCAGTCAAAGTAAGTCGGCTCCTTGTTTTGGAGGGTCTGTTAAATTCAGTCAATCCAATCTTTCTTATTTGTCCATGCCAACAGCATGGTGGTGTGGTATTAACTCACCCCATGATGACTGAGGTTGGGGGTGAGAATGACAGCCGGGGTGTGTGTGTGTGTGTGTGTACGCATGTCCACGTATGCTGCAGAAACAGGGAACATGCTTTGCATGTCTGGTAGATCTCTCAGTGGGGTTAAGGGGAAATGTGGTCAGGGCTTTCTCTCAGGCTGGGGATGGCAGACCCAGCAGTCAGTTAAATTGAAGATGTTTCTAACACTTTGGAATAGTTGCTCCAGAATGTTTTCCCTGGGGAGGAAGACTTCAGAAGCAGTTTTGAGAGACAAAGGTCATTAAAGCCCCTTCCTCCCCTGTGCAACCCTGGATTCTAAGTTGTTGCTCTTCTTCCATTTCCATAATACATGAGTGGAATACTTTTTCCTTTTCTTTCAGTTATTCTTTACTCTCACCCAAACTTTTCATCTAGAAGGATCAGGTGTGAGGGGGGACAAAGACATTTTATAAAATCAGAATTAAGTTTGAATCACATAGGTTTCATTTTTTGCCAGGCTGCCAC